CTCTGAAATCTTTGGGTTGTAAAGTCAAAGTCAATTCAGCCCCCCCACCCCCCCGTAATTGACATTTATGCACTATTTTTGCTCACCAAGTATCACTTTACTTGGATTTATCACTTAATTTGGATTTAGTTTTTACATATGCATAGATATACGTCAGAGTTGGGGACTCGAATTTGTGACTCGTACTCGAGTCGCACTTAAGTCGCATATTTAATGACTTTAGACTCGACTTAGACTTGCATTTGAAGGACTTCAGACTCGACTGAGACTCGTGATTTCTGACTCGTGAACAATATTTTATTTCAAAGTGTTTTTTTGTTTAACTAACTGGACTGATCGCCGCTCGCCTTACCCGCACACAGCAGAGGTAAATAAAATAAAAAAAGGGCAGAGGGGCTGGCAAACTGTCACGTAGCACTGACGTCACTGACGCAACGCTACGTGACATATATGCCCGTGCGCATGCATGCATGATCAACAAGCCAAGCTTTAAAAACTTCATGGTAGTCGTAGAGGAGAAATATGTTGTGAATAATGTTGTGAATTGGCACTAAATAAATAAACTGAATTGAATTTAAAATACTGCCTGCCAAGTCGGTTCTGTCTGTTCAAGGGCATTAAGTTACAAAGAGTTATTGCCACAATGTTTCTCTTATGAAAGAATTTATATTGTCCTGGTATTTATTTAGGGTTTTTTTTTATCTGTTGTAGTTGCTAACTTCATATGTATTAATAAAAAGCAGGATTGTAATTGTTTTTTTTTCCACAGCCCTCATTTTCACTTATAAATAAAAGAGCAGACATATACTCCTAAAACTAGAAAAAGTTGTAACTACAAATGTCAGGTAAGTACTGTAAGAAAATTGTTGTTTTTGAAAGAAAAAAAAAAAATGCAAAATTTAACTGGAAAAAAAATTGCATATTGTATTTTTCATTTACCAGTTCAAGATAATGATCATTCCATAGATATAATAGCGACCTTTACGCTATACCGTCTAGGTGACGGAGATAAAAACACAAGGAGAAACAAGCAAGCACGCAAATTATTACACTTATTTTAATTAATCGAGTGACTGGAATTTATTGTGCGATTAATTGATAATTGTGACAGGCCTTCTCAGGACTTGAGACTTGACTTGGACTTGCAAAAAATGACTTGTGAACATGTCTGATATACGTATATATAAATATATATATCTATATATAAATATATATATCTATATATAA